CAATTCTTCCCAGTGAAACCATTTCATTGTTCCTTAACTCTTGAATATGAATACGTCAAAAACCTCATACCTTATCAATTGAATGGCCTAACTGCATCAGTTGAGAGACTCTCCCTCGCGTCTGTAGGTAGGGATCGTATCTAAAGTTAAAAACACAATATAACAATCTCAAGTAATGTCAAAACTAAACTAAATTCGGTCAACATTACCTAGCCCTTATAGCTCGCATACTTGTCGGTTCGTATCCCGTGTAACTTTGGGTGGAATATTCAAAATCGGAGTCAGGACCTCCAGGACAATATACGCAGACGTTCCCAGTGAAGTTGATATGAGGGCATCGATGAGGTTTTGACATTACTGCTACTACAGCGATACCAGATGCTGTTCGGACCGGCTTTGCCTTCAATTTAGGCAGCAACACATCCTGAATTAGTCAAGACTGATCAAAGATGAAGCGGCATCTGCTGTGAGGGTTCTAACCAATATCGATTGGTATTAGCGGCTGTATGTTATCGAAGCAGCTCTGAAGGTGAGCCAAATCAGTGATCTGCCTTTTCACCAGCGGTAGCACGCGACCAAATCAGTTAGTTATAAAACTGATATAACTTACTTTATATTCGCTTGGTACACCAGCAATGATGTCAACCAGTTTTGGTTGTGAGCTGAGACCGTACTTCTGAGCAATCTGTAAAGAGGACGACAAGAAAGCGCTCCCAAACTCGTCGGAACACAGGTATCCAATCTCCAACAAAATATATGAAGAACACCAACCACGCATTTGAGCCGATTCAGATTCACATCTTTATGTTCTCGATGGGCTTCGACAAGGTGGGCGACAATCTCGTTGATTGTTAATGCCATAGCCTCCCGCTGCGAACGCTGAGCATTCGAGCCGGTCATTCTTGTCTAAACAACTGGTGAATAGTCACAGAGCACATAAGAACTAATCAAAAGAGCACTAGCAATATGAAATGAAGAAAAGCTCAGCTTTCAACCGACTACGATGATAAGCTCAGCAACTTAAGTTGAAGATTGGTTGCAATCAGAGTTAAGGGATCATGGACAGTTTGCGACATGATTATGACATCAAAAATATTTCAACTTCTAGCTCTAACGAAAACATACCCGATTTTTTGCTTGAGGCAACGCCGATACAAACCGCTACAACTCGCCTCGACTTAATACTAACCGCTGACTTGAGCTGGGTCATATTGTGATTTTTTGAAACCAAAAGACTCTTTTTCCACGGAAACGAAGCCTATGAGCCTGCTAACTAAACCGTTCCGCAAAGGTAAATGAAGATAAGCTCCTTTTGTGAGAAATGAAACAAACAGAACTCGCCTCAAACAGCGCCTTCATTATCCTTTTCTAGGCTGTTTCTTCAATTTTGTTGTAACTCGAGGTCATTGTAAGGGTTACATGGGAGGGAAAAACCAATATGAACTAAGATGCAAAATCAAAACTTCTACAGGGAGGCGCTAAAACTCACGAAGTCTGGAAGGACAGCTGCTCCGATGGGGAATCCAAGTATACAGGGAGTAACTGAAAGAAGTAAAAGTTTAAAATCAAGCTATAGAGGAATACACAAAAAGGAGCGAATCCTCGTAGACAAAACTAAGAGAAATATAAACATCGGACTTCTGACTTTCTTGCGTATTCATTGCGAAGCACGACACGCAAGGAGTAAATAAAACGAGGAGTGAAATAGAATAAAGAAGAAAAGGAAAAGCAAAGAATGCAGGAAAAACCGCAGAAAATAGCAGTAATCACGAAATATGTTTACAAAATGAAAGTCGTAAGAGGACGTGTTTACAGTTGTATTACGTATAAAACACGGCCACTCTACGCCAAATAGAATCGCCAGCAGACCCCTTATCCAAATGGAACCACCTAGGCCAATGAACTTCTCTGTTCCAGAGCATGATTACGGGTAAAGGGTCGTTCGGGAGAATAAAATAACTACTACGGATGTGATCGTTCAGCCGTCCAGGTAACTGTATAGGTCGAATAATGAATTCTTGGAAGTCTTGTGAATCTCATGGGAGGACCGAGATGACAGGTAGGAAGGAAGGCGCACTGAGCTCATGTAACACTGGAATTGTCAACAAAACAGAATATAGAAAGTCCACTGATATCTTTTGAACTAGGCGCTGTTCAAGGGCGTTCAAAAGGGAGGTGTACTGGGCAATTTTGAAGCTCACGACGCTCTACAACAACGAGTGGCGGTTCCTAGTAAAGAATCGTGAAGTGTAAACCTAAATGGACCTGTACTGAGATAACTAAAAAACCGGGTCGTTCAATGTTGCAGTCAGCCCCTGATGGTGCGAGACCAGCACCTATGATACTACGCACACGTAAGGAGAAGGATAGGATCACTCGGTAAATGGAGCAATACCCACGCTCAGAGGAAAAGACTCTAGGAGAAATTGTAGCTGACCAAGAAAGGGTTGGCCAAAAACAGGGCTACGGCATAACATGTTGTATATAGAAAGAAATTGCGACATCGGACGGGAGCACCACACTGTGACGGCGGAGGAGCAATGCCATCAAGTTGAAGAACAGGCAGTTTCCGATTGACCCTTTGGGATTTGATCACTAGTTTCTCCATAAAGCACTTTGTTTTCCTCTTCTTCCCGATTGCCCATAGGAGCTGTGGCAGAAACCATCGGTAGTTCAGTGGTAGAATGCTCGCCTGCCACGCGGGCGGCCCGGGTTCGATTCCCGGCCGATGCAATCCTTTTGTTGCTGTGCGACTAAAAAATTCAGCCATTCGCCATC